TTTTCCGTTTTTTCTAAGTGACGCAGTTAATACATGGTCCACAGTATCTTTTGTTAACTTATATTTAATCGTTATAATAATGTACAATAAAAATTGTAAAATGTAATGTAAATAATGTACAAGTAATTTGTTTGTTAATTGTTAAATTAATGTATTATTTATACACACAACCCGTACGAAGGACGGGTACATAGCTAGTCATTACTATATTTCAAATATTCTTGGTATTTTATAAATACTTCTGTAACTTATGATACCATTGTGACAAATGTTAAAGATCATGAAATTGTGCTTTGACCTTATTCATGACTCTTGTGCAAGTTTTGTTCACAAGTGTAATGTATTGATACATAAGCTTAGAATAAAGTTCCATACTGAAATACAAAATTTGAATTCACACGAGTACAAAAAGATGTGTTGTTGTACACAATAAGAGAAAGTTTTGATTTACAAATCAATGATATATAACCCAAAATTACTATACACATTATAATGGCTCATTTACAAATTGAATTTTTACGATCCTTACATTCAAACTTTATCATAATTATAGTTGTTCAATAAGACCGGAAAGAAGAAACTTTTCAGCATGAGATAATAAAAAAAACTTACCTACCACCTGGAAGTTCTGCATGGACAGGCTGGACGGACACTGGAGATATCCGACATGTGTTCTCATCCAACAAGCGTGAAGCATTCAGCCCAAGTTTACTAAAATAACTGGAAATTGTTAGATCCAGAAAGTATGGGAGTGAAAAGACCAGAGATCCTATACCCATTATAAGACAACCTGAAAATGTGGAAAGTGCTTTAATGATAATATTTTTAAATTTACAAACATAAAGCTTGCACTGGATGTAAAAAACATTAACACTACTATGAAACAAGAAATATTTCCTTTCTTCATATCAATTGTTATTACTTTATTTTTCTACAAATATTTAGTGTTATTCTTGGCTTTCAAGATCAATGCTTTAAATAAACCACTTAGTTTGAAGATTATGACCCTCAGCTTATGTGTCCTACATAAAACTAAATCAGTCGTTAATGTGCAAAAAAGTGATGTAATAAAAAATAATGTAATCGTGTTACTATCAGAAAATGTTACCAAACAATGTTTGAATAAAAATCAAAGGGTGGATGGATGATGTTAAAACATGTTTAAAGTTTTCTTTCTCAAGACACCTCTGACACGAGGCATATTGGTTCAAGAAAGAAAGTTCTGTTGTCAGATTCCACAAGTGCCATGAGAATGATCCTTCAAACTTTATATTTCTTCTGTTAACAATGTCATGCAACATTACAGGTAGGTGTAGTTTTAGCCCTTAGAATCAAATAATAATTTCTCACATTTAAGTTTATCTCTTTGTAAAATTTTATTTTCAGCTCTAGGAAAAATCTTCTTTCTAAAAAGACTCAGTGATTTATGTATTTTTGTGATATCAGCATCACATATAATGAATTGTTCAAACACTAACATGTTTGCCCATGTGGTGTGTAAATTGAGGTAACTCATATTTAAAAGTGTAGATTATAGTATTGTTACGTTTCCGTTTGGTAATTGATTTTCCGTAACTTCGTTCCAACGAAACTTTAGCGACACAAGTCCTTACTTAATATAACTGGTTTATTCTTTCCGAATACAACTTTACGATACACTTATTTTCAACAGTTGCTCTATAACAAACGCTATATCAACGAACGTCAACAATACTTCTAACTGCAGTTCAATTACTCACTATCTACACACACATTATTGCGTCCCGCCGTTACCCTCTTATATATACCAGACCACCCCCACCAATCTAGTAAATGCTAGAGCACTCCCGAAGGAACGGGATAGTTCTAGAAATGTGGCGTGACACTAGTCATGTGACCTCGCTGACGCAACACTGCCCCTTCCTTAGTATTGTTCGTCCCGAACAATAACCACATACTATAAACCAATAACAATTAACAATAACTTAATTAAATGTACAGAATTACAAACAAAAATTACAATTCAACAAAGTCCCTTAATTTTACGGGACGTATCCTTATCCGTACTGGTCTCCGTCTCGTTGGCTTCTGCTTCATATGGGATTCATCTGCTTCATCAGGAAATGTTCTATCGTCGATAACAGTCACATCAGTGGTAGTAACTTCACCAAGAGCTTCACCGTTTCCCTTCTCAAAAACTGAGTAGAGTTTCTTCTTCGACAGTGGC